CTGTCGGGACGTTAGACTGTCCGATTGGGCGGTCCTCGAGGTGGGAGATATCTGGTTGGAGAAAAACCCGCTAGCCGACGGTAGGTCGCACGGATCTCAGCCATCCAGAGGGTGAATGATCATCGCCACCTTCCGAGGGAAAACATGAAACTACACTTACGGGACTAACTACCTTCTCACGTTGACGTGCTTACTACGACACTAACCCCCGACCAACCGTTCCCAGAGGCAACGCGCTTTGCAGGCTGGGGCGCGCTAAGCAAGTGGGGCGCGCGTGCGGGCGCTGCCCGACAAGGACGAGACCGGCGCAGGGGCGGCGCCGCGTGCCGCTACTTGAACCACTTGCGAGCGAAGACGCGACTCGGCGCTGCTCGGCGCCTGTGGGTGGCGTGCGGGGCAGTGTGCGGTGCGGGCAGTGCGGTGGCGGTGCGGGCAGTGCGGTGGGTGCGGGCAGTGCGCGTGCGGGCATGCGGGCGGGCAGGTGCGTGCGGGGCCAGTGCGGTGCGGGGCAGTGCGGTGCGGTGCGGTGCCGGTTGCGGTGCGGGCGGGTGCGGGCGGTGCGGGGCGGTGCGGGGCGGTGCGAGGCGTCGGGCGGGGGGCGGGCGGGGCGGGCGTGGGGGGGGGGCGGTGCGGCGCTAGGTGCGCCTCCGGGGCTGACCCTAGTCGCGCGCGCATTCTCCGCCATATATAAGAAACGAAAAAGATGTTTGAAATTGCTCGAGCGAGCGGCAGGCGACAGCAGCAAGTAGCAAGGCGAGCGAGCAAGTGGGCGGGCAGGCGAGCGTTCGAGCGGTGTGTGTGTGTGTGGGGGGGGGGAGGGTTACGCAATGGCGTGCATACCCCAAAGAGGTTTGATACTCTCTGTCGGAGGTAATCGTACAGCGGATGGTGGGGAGGAGGACCGAGGGGGTTGGGACGCAGAGGCGGCCGAGAGAGGTAGCGGATGGACGAGGGCGAGTGAAGGAGGGACGAGTCGGTGGGGACGTCGAGGAGGACGAGGGTGACGAGGCGGCCTAGGACGGCTGAGAGCGGTAGGACGGACAAGGGCGGACGAGGACGGGTGAGGGCGGACGGGAGCACACGAGGGCGGTGAAGGCGCACCAGGGCTGACGAGGCGAGTGAGAATGGCTGAAGGGGGATGAGAGCGGCGAAGGGTTGACGAGGTCGGTGGGGACGGACGAGGACGGACGAGGATAGACGAGCGCGGACGAGGGCACACGTGGGCGGACGAAGGCGGTTGAGAACGGCTGAAGGTGGATGAGGGCGACCGAGGGTGGACGAGGTCGGACGAGATCGGACGAGGTCGGACGATGGAGGTCGAGGGCAGGTAAGGGAGGAAGCAGGCGGACGAAGGTAGAGGCTAAAGAAGATCTTGTGGGCGAAGATGTTCTTGAGACTTCAGACGGAGGACGGCCCGCGCGCAGACGTGGAAATGAAAGTGGTGGTGGTAGTCACGGACACGGATTTATGTCGCCTTTAAGTCGCATTCGCGCGGGCCCTGCTTTCTAGCGTGATCATTTTGTTTCTGATGAATCATTTAAGTAATTGCTCGCCTCAAGATATGGAGGTGGCAAGAAGAATGAGTGATCACAAAGAGGTGAGAGTAAGGACTTAAGTAAAGAAAAGAATGTTCGGGTAGGAATGCTTTCTCCGTATTATTGCTCTAGATGGAAACAATATTTACCTCTTTGTTCCAAGTCCAAAAAGTGATAGTTTTCCTACTAATAAAAAAGTTTCGCCCCAACTAATTCAATCTGCTTGCATCGTAACAAAAGAGAACTACCCATATTAGCAAGTCATTGTGTTAATGCATCTATCATTCTACATGTATGAATGATCCGAATACATCTTTTCGTTTAGAACCATTAATTTTAACATAAGGCACTTTCATTTGAGAACGTCTTTTCATGGCTCCTCGGTATGTCTTTTGCTTGTGGAGTGGGCAAGAACACAAAGCAGTCAACAAGGAAGTGGTAGAAAGGTATCAAATGTCACGACGCGCGGAGTGAAAACGCACATTTTGTCGACCTCATATTTACTGCGTAGTATTGACCTATTCGTGTAAAGGAGTAAGAGAGCATTCTAAGGAATTAATGTAAAACATAACTGCCTTATTGAGTCATTTTAGCAAATGTAAAACATCTACATTACCTCACTTTATAAATATTTAGCGTTTCGTTTAATAAATTTACAATGTATATTATTAAATATGATAAATTAAAGGTGCTGTATGGAATCAATAATTTATTTTGCTAATGATCGTTTAGATTGCGTAGCAATCATCCTCAGTGCTTGCAGCTTCCGGGCCGAAAACAAAGTTCTGCCTCACCAGAGATGTAATTAAAGATGTGTATAACTCTACCATTATCTCCGCTGGCCTTTATTTACTAATATAAATTGGAAACATACTTTGTCTAGTGTGAGTATTCGTAAAAATCGTTGTGAGATAATATATTGCTTTAATCACATGTTTTAAATAATTAATTAAACAAGAAAGCCGAATAACTATTTTTAAAAAAATAAGGCACATACGTTATCATCAACAATGAATATTCCAAAGAAACTTTTTCTTCGAGAGTACTCGACGCTTTGTACTCTTGCAAAAACCTCTCCGTGCATATTTACCATCCTTACGTGACCGAAAGGCTTGTCGACTCGGCTTCACCTTCTTGGCAATTAGAGAACGCGGCTAGTTTCTCAGCGGGCGCGCAGGTTGCCTAACCGCCCATCGAGAAGGCGGTTTCGATGTCGCGCGCATTCCACGGGGTGCGACTTTTCAGAAACGGCCCGGGCGCGCGCCCACACCAGCCCACACACGCACACATCAGGGTAACGGGGAGGTGTGGAAATCCCGACTGTTTAGGGGCGCCCCACCCCGTACGACTGCAGGAACAAACAAGCCTCGACCTCAGACGAAATGAAAAGTAGCAATAAGGGAGCAGCGGACGCGCGTGCGTGGCGTGGCGCGCATAGACAGTAGGCGGCCGCCGTGGTGGTGGTGTGTGTGGTGGTGGGTGTCGTGTGTTGTAGCGTGGCGCGTGATGGAAGGCGAAGTGAGCCGGGTGTGTCTTCCGGTGGCGGTGGCGGTGCGGAGTTCAGAGGCGGTGCGGTGCGGCGCTTAACAGAAAGTGAAACTCTCGAGGCTGCCCGACCAGATGGGCCTACCCGCCGAGCCCTGTCCTGCCCGCGACGCGCCCGCCGCACCTCGCCCATCCCGCGCGTGAAGCCCCCGCCCTGCGCTCCACGCAGCCCACAAACAGACTATTCGGGGGAGGGGTGTATCCAAGTTGGCGATCCGAAGGACGTGAATTCATGGTTACCCCCCCCCCTTTCCAGCTATGTACTTGCAACACGTATTTTTATTATTATTCCTTTCTCAATTACGTGGAATGTAAATTAAAATAAGTAAACACAATATTAATGATTTACAAATTTATCAATTTACGTATAAGTAGTTAAATAATAAACCAATACGGTTTCAGTAGTATTTTTTAACTTCAGTATATAATTTGAGATAAATGACAGTTCTCGCAAATGAATATACACATCGAAAGTGCCTGTAATTCTACATTTGTTCTCCAATCAGACTGTTTCCAAATCCGCGCCAGCCAATAACGAAACGACACGAACGCAAAACAAAATAAATAAGTATAATATAATGCGATTATGAGAAGAAACATGTAAAGAAATGAAATTTCCAAGAAACAAGAGACAAATATACCGAAGCAATGGCACACTTATAAAGAATATGAACGGATCAAGTATTTGAAGGAGAAAGGAGAAAGATACCCAAATATAAGGACTAAATGTAAAGGTAAAGGAATAACACAAAATCGGAAAAAATTGTGAAAGACCCAAAATTACGCAATAAATCTGTACTATATTTGAAGACTTGAAGGCGATTTTATAAACGGTTAGCTAACTTAGCTAAACGGTTTATCTAAAAATGCAAGAAGACTGGACGGAATCAGACCAAGAGGAAAACATATGCAAACTAACGATAAAGAACACAAAAGAGCATAAAATAAGTACATCTGTAAACATATTTATAAATATCACACAGCATCTCAAGATACAGTTGTTTCGTTTTGATTGTTATATTTAGAGTAGTCATACCTAACGTTTAAATGCAATCTTGTTTCACTTGGTATTAAATTTACTTCAATGTTTGTCACAATAGCTCTCTACTAAGTATGTCGGTTAAAATTCGGCGTAAAATGCGCAAATTTTCATCTTGTTTTTGTGGAGTGGAAACCAAATATCTATACTATGATTCGTCACTATGAAGTATCGACGGGATCATGCACGTCATTTGGAAGAAGTTTTATAGAAGAACCAATTGAATTTTTTGTCAAATGTTTTCTTGCCAAAGCTTGGTCGTGTTCGAAACTATATTCACTATTTGGAAAACAAATGACATCCAGCGTTCTTTTCATTTATAAATAATTTTACGAGTGATAGTACACTATCAGCGTACTTGCCGTATAAATTTGCATGTCCTTTTTTTATGAAAAAAGAAAACTGTCAATTTAGTTATTTTCGACAAAAATGTGTCATCCCTCATTTCTTCACCTGATTTTATACTTGAGAGGGTTGGGACTAGTTAGTGCAAACCCACAGACATGTAACTTTTATCCACCAGAAGAAAATCATAGTTTAAAATAAATTAAGACATTCGTTTCTGAATACACTTCTTGTTGCTTTGAACACACATACTGTTCTTCTATAAACATGTTTGAACAGTGTTTAGATCGTAATGTTTGTTTTTGAATCACTTTTTAAGACTTCCTTGACTATGGATTTATGAAATGATGGATAGTACTATCTTCCCCGACCCACAATTCAGCAGGAAATCCAAGTACTAGTCTCCTCGAGTGTGGTCGCCAATCTGCCGTTATGCACCGCGCGTGAGGTGGCCGTGAATGAGGCCAAACGCTCGTTTTCAACGCCCCCTTCCCCTCAACGCAACCTCTCAGCGCGCGCAGAGGCGGAGTACGTACCGGCGAGCTCCGTGAAGAGGAAGTCGTAGTAGCGAACGACGGTGCTGTTGCGGAGGGCCATGGCGGTGCACTTCTTCTTCTTTGCCCTTCAAGATGCGCTGGAGGCTGAGAGTGCGTGGCGGGCTCAGGGCTCTGGAGAGGAAGCCGGTGCTCGCTCGGTCACCTTCGCTGTCACCTGCGAAAAGAAGTCGAGCGACTAAGTACATTGCCAAGGACACGCACGGATGTTCACTTTTCAACCGGCTGATATCAAACATTTGTTACGATATGTTCAATCGTGTGTGCGATCAAGGGCACGCACGTATGTTCACTTTTCAACCGGCTGATATCGAACATTTTTTATACGTTATGTTCAATCGCACGTGTGATCAAGGGCACGCATGTATGTTTATTTTTCAACCGTCTGATATCAAACTTTTGTATATGTTATGTTCAATCGTACCGGTCTTTCTCTCACAATTCGTCAACATCTGTATCGACAAAACGTAACAAAAAATCGTCCGCCAACTCGCTTATAATTTTTACGTGCACAATCACTTTTGCACACAGACACACTCACACATAATCAGGTCACGTACTCAATTTTCTCAGATATCGCTAGTGTAAGCTCCGAGCGTTTCTCATGGCGTAAATACTCTTTCTCTGATAGACCAAACCCATCCATTGGCTACTATAGCCTGGCGACAACATTGTTAATCTCTAGTATCACTTTTCTAGAAATTCTACAGCTCGAGGCCCAACGAGGCCCAAACAAAGGATTTAAGCACTAGCTAGAGAGCTAGTCGAACTCATCCACTATCAGGTGAAAAATTGAAGGGTTGTGAGCAAGAACATGATAACGAACACGAAACTCGCCTTACACTAAAAGAGATGATACAGGCAATAATAACCAAAGCAGAAATTTAATTTTATTGAAAAATTTGTTTAAAAAAACATTTGGTTTCATTCTCTCGAGAAACATATTCCAAGACCGAAATTTTAGATGCACCAGAGATTTGTCAGGCCCTATTCATAAATTTAATTTTCATTTGTAAATTATGATTTTCCATGTTTTTGCCCACAAACCTTCAATTCTAGCTTCCGACTGCTCTGATGGCCAGTTCTCAATAGTTTCCCCGATCAATACCGGATCCAACGCCGGAGGAGAACTCTAGCGCATACACCTTCACACTACGCTCCCATAGACGACGAGTGGCAAGCTCAGACCGTGTTCCTGCTGGGTCGGACCTTTGGAGTGGAAAAACACCTGCCCCCACATGCAAGTCGACGCCCAATAGCACGTTCCAGCAGGAGAGAAATTCCGCCACGTCCACGTTATAACCTGCACTCCACTTAAGGGACTAATGAAGTATACAACTAATAATAACTAAACTGAAGTATGTTACGCTTCCGGAATCAATACTCTATACCCCCCAGAACAATCATAAGATTTTTTTTCCATCCTTCCATCAAGTGAGCTCTACTATCTCTTAAGACATTCTTGGCGAGACGTTTTTTCCGTCGTCGGCAATCGCAGTTGCTTGCGATGTGTGTGCTATGGTCAGTATCAGCACTCTCGCATTGGGCTTGAGCGCGCAGGAGATTTCCCTCGCTTTCCCTCGCTGCCGCCCGCCC